ACCTCTGCTACCCCTGCAGCCTTGAATGTCCTGGGTCTTCTGGCTCCATCCCAAGGCCTCTGCCATTCCAGGTGGGTCTAGCTCCACCATGACTAGTCCCGAGTCCACGCTTATCTCCTGTGCGGCAGGGACTGTGTCTCCTGGTGTCCCCGGTGCTTCTGCTGGCGGTGGGAGGGCAGACCGACAGGCTATGACTGGCACCTGGGTTGGAGGAGTCCCTGCTGATGTCTTACCAGGTTTGAAGCTGGGGGATCCGCTGTGCAGTCCCGCACTTACCTTCAGTCCTTGGGCAGACTAGGGGGAGAAGAGGGGTGGGCGATGGCTGGGCTTTCAGAAGCCAGAGACTGCGGGGTCACATCCTCCCCGAGCGGTCCTTACACTCAGGGTCTTGTCATTGACCCCGTGTGCAGCAGTTAAGGACGGGTGCCTGTGTTTTCAAACCACACCGGTGGGAGCAGGGAGGAGCAGAGGCTGGGATAGGGCCGGAGCGGGGAAGGGTTTTTGTGCAGAGGAACGATCTGGAAGGGTTGGAGGTGTCCGCCAGGACTGGGAAAGGCCTGTACCTGTCTTGTTTGTGGGTCAACCTGTCAGGGTTTTCCTCCCTCATGCCCCGGCCTGAATATTTTCCCGTCCAACGTCCCACGGCCCAGAAGCTGGGGAAGAGGCCTGGTCTCTGCCATCCTAGACGCCTGTCCCAGAAACAGGATCAGAGAGTCGGAGAGAGGACAGGGTCACTAAGGGAGCCACCCCTGGTGCTGGAGACAGGAGAGGAGCCGCATCGCTCTCTCCTTCCGCTGGGCCAGGTCCTAATGGGGGTGTGGTGCTGGGTGCACAGAGCCAGACAGGAATGAGCAGGGGAAGGTGAGCTGTGGGGCCTGGAAGAGGCCTCTCCCCACCTTTCTCCCTGACCCAGTGAGGGCCTTCCCAAGGGACATCCCTCAGGTGACCAGCAGGCAGGCTCTGCACCTCACAGCTATTCCAGGAGTTAGGGAGTAGCCAGGCCCTCCCGCGCCTACTGGCGGCAGGAACCAGGCCTGGGGGTCTGACTCCTCATAGAGTGTAACTCCTTCAGCCAGGCTTTTGGGTTCTTTCTAGTCATTCCCAGATTGCTCCCTTTTCTGAAAAACAGCCCCGTTAATCTTGTTTGCTGGAGGCATGCTTACTGGTGTGAACGCTCAAAAGAGAGAGCTTTTGTCTTCCACCCAAATTAACCCCCAGTAATTGGAGGACCCCTTACAAGGTGCCTCTAGCCCTTCCCAACCTCAAGGGCCACCTGTTGAGTTGCCTTCTGACTGCCCCCACCACCAGCGGGCTGACAG